GGTACCTAAGTGGGGACAAATGGAAGTACAGCACGGGTAACTCATCCTGACTTAGTAGTACTGCTGTCTAGCTCTGCAGTAGGATCTTCAGGTTGCCCAGGCTCTCCTGCAGCCCTCAGGTCAGCAGGAGGCTCTCCCAGGACTCTTTCACAGCAACACTCAGCCGTAAGGCAGAGTACCAAACTGTTATCTTGTAGACTTTACTGAGGGCTTTTGTGGTTTACCTTATCTCTTTCAGTCATCTTTATTGAAGGTGTGCGTTGCTGCACACCAAACTATCTGCCTTTGGAAAAAGTGACCTGCAAAGGGAAGGCTTGTGGTATTGCTTCACATGGCCTTTCAAACGATCAAAAGGATTTAAAAGGTATGGGAGCTTTCTTTGGGGCAGAAGGGCAGGTCGTTTGCCCTGGCAGACAATCGCATGGTTTCATCATTGTACTACACCTCAGCCTAGGACAAACAGACTGAAACTGAAGTGATTCTTAGGGGAAGGGTATTTTAAACAGGAAATTTTAAGGCTGTTTGTTAGTCCGGTTCTGATGAGTGTTTTGAAAGAAGCTTTTTCCCTGAATGCCAGTCTTTCGGAAAAGCTCCACCAAAAGTGATAGAATAGCAAACAATTCCTGGACTTTCTAACTACTAAAACTCCCCTCTTTCAGCCCTTTCTGCCCCAATGAAGGACTGGTTCCTCTGGAGGTCATCTGGTCCAACTCCCCTGCTCAAGCAGGGCCATCTAGAGCTGCCTGCCCAAGACCATGTCCAGACAGCTTTTGAATATCTCCAAGGATGGAGACTCCACAACCTCCGAGGGCAACACAGAAGCCCATTCAGTTCTGATCCCTCCTGTGGTGGAAAAACACAGAACAGTGCAATTTGGGGATTTGCCTGTCATCATTCCTACAGAGAGTGTTTTCTCTGCTCTCATCCGTTATTTTATATCAGTTTGGAAGAAGGTGACAGAGGTAGTGCTGGCTTGACACTAGGGTGGTTGGTTTTTTCCCCTAAATAGGAGGCTGCAGAATTGCTGCTGCTTCTGCTGTCCAACGGTGTTTTATTCCCAAACTGGAATTCTGCCCTTCCCTCTGGCAGGATAGCAAGAGGATGATATCTGGGAAAGCTGGTTCTGCTGTAAATCACCATTCAGTTGTTGTTCCTTCCACAGCCACTCTCCTAAAATTGTTACTGTTCCTTCTCCCTTTTGCTAAGGTTTGGCTTTCTGTTCAGCCTTAAAGGTCTTTACTGTAGCAGCTTCTCTGCTTTCAGCCTTGCACAGTATGTTCAAAGTAACGTAAGGATGGTGGAGCCCCATTATTTGTCCCAGTGAAGAGCACTTCTTGCTCCACTGTTTAGGGTAGGGGACAAGGCATAAACTCCTGTTGTGTTTCCTTTCCTCACCCCTGTCAGAAGGCCTTGTGGGGTAAGGATGCAATGGCAGCTGGGCTCTCTCACTTGCACTAGTATGGGCTAGAATTTGAAGTAGTCGTCTGTGCAACAGGGGATGGGATAACATAGGGCCTGGTAATGCCAAGCACAAAGCATGCGCTCACATGAGTGAGTTGATGTGGGGCACTTTCTCTTCCTAGCTACTGTGGGGAATTATCCAACTCACAGGTGCAATTCTCTTTTCTTCCTGCACTGTACACTCTTTAACCCCAGAAGTGGTGCACTCGGCTGTCTGACTGGCAGCACTTCAATTTAATCATATTTGTCATTAGTGTGGACAGGGGTGAAGCTGAATTAAGAGTCTGGGTCTTGGGACTACATCAAATTTAGCTGCTGGGAAAGTGGAATTGAATGGAGCGGTGTTGCTGATACAGAACAGCAGAATGCAGTGGGGAAGGGGGGGGGCTGTGCGTTCCCATCCTCCTCACAGAGAACGCTTCTCCTGAGCACCACTAGCCTTGTGTCAGTGAGACACAAACACACGCATGTTGACATCTTGTCAGGTGTGCTTATGCAAGAGTTCTATGGCACATCGCTCTCTGCGGGCAGCAGGAACTAAACCCCACAGTGTGGGGCAATAGCTGCACCAAAACTGCTGTGTTAACAGAGCAGTCCCTCCCTAAGAGGCAGCGGGTGTGTGAGCAGGTAGGATGGTTTACGCTGTGCAGTCAGAGTAGAGAAATCCAGACCCTGATGTCTGTACCGCTTACCTAAGGCAGGCTTCCCCAGCAGCTGAGGCGCTTCGCTTTTTGCTTGTCAGTCCTCTCGGGCATCAGCAGCTGTGACAAGCAGTAATGAATCCAGATCTTTTTTGCAAACATAACAGGCTGCTGTTTTCTCTTTAAAACACTCAACCCAGCTCTGCTGCTAATCAGTAGCTGGCAGGAAAACCGAAGGGTCGCGACTATGGCATGCTCAGAAACCTCCCACTTCAATGCCAGTGGCATCATCTAGCACGGATGGGCACTCGGGGTGCACGCCAATTGCCTGTAGCGCAGAACAAAACCTTCAGCCTGTTCCCTGGTGATAGGAAATAAGAGGTTATGGGACACCTGAGTTCTTTATAATACCTACATGATAAGAAATGTCTGTACCAAAGGAGGTCATTCTTCCAAATGTGTCTGTTGCACACAGGAGGTAAAGCCCAATCAGCTCGGCACGCTGTTTGTATCAGTAGTGAACTCGTCGAGGGCAGGAATGGATTAAAATGAAACACATTAATCACCAATCACTCTACCAGTGTTGTCAACTGTTTTTGTTTTTAATTGTTACTGTAATATATTTTGGTTGTTTTTCTAATTTAATTATCTCACTATCGTCTGACTGTGAACTGCGAACAGTGTTAAACTTGATGTAAATAAGGCCCTTTGAAGGGCCTCTTTGCCTGTCGTTCCACAAAGTTTTGCCAATTTGCATTTTGTTTTAAATAAAGGTTGCAATATTTTATTGGCAAAAAACACCTGAGTATATGCTGCTTTTTTTTTTTCTTCTTAAGGACTATTTGAAGCTGCTCAGTATTAACCTGAAGTTTGTTATTTTGGGTAGAAAAGAGTATTATAAGCCTGTTAAAAAAAAGAAATAATTTAATTCTGCCAGATGGCAAAGAAAAAGCAGTATCTTTATTTATGCCTTTAAAATCAAACTTAATGTTGCCATGGAATGGTCAGATGGAGTGAGGCTGCATAATCAAATAATTCTGAAACATACACATGTGACCTGGCAGAGCACATAGTCTTGCATCATCAGTTTGACAGTTGCCCTCATTAGTAACACCATCATCTCCTTAATCAGTAACAGAGTAAGAAGAGCCTAACATGCCAACTTCATACCAGCCCCGCACTGGTGAAATGGCTGACAAAGTGACTCCCTTCCACTCCAAGCAGCATCGTTCTAACCTGGACAGCTGAAGATTCTTTTCTATTTAAAAAAAAATAATCATACCTTATCCTGGCTTATACAATCTTCTAAGCAACTAACCTTCAACTAACTAACAACTTAACTTTCTACCCAGGTTATAAAACACAACCCGAGTTGAGTCCTGTGGGGCTGCATCCTCCCTTCCCAGGAGCATCTCCCTGTGACATGTCCCAGGCTGAAGCTTTAGGCTTGACACTTGCGATTAAGAGATTAAGCAAGCCTCAGAAACACCTCGTAACAGTGCACGCTGGCACAGGCCCTAAGGTCCAATCTGGAGACAACAGGTAAGTTTAACATTGCATCAGTTGAGCAGTAAGAAAGCAGCTAGCTTGCCTTCCTGCCTTGGACTATGAAGCCTGGTTAGATAACAGAGCCAGCGTGCCCAGAGGGAAACACGAACTCAAAGTCTGCAGGACTAGTAAGTGTGTCTGGTCAATCTTTTCCCAGAGGTTGTGCTGCTCATCACTGGCACCGCAACGAGGTTCAAAGCTTAAAATAGATCAAAGGTCCGCACATGAGGTGTCCAGGGAGCTAAGCCCTGTCCTTGGCATGTGCTGTTTCACCTCATCGCCCCAGCCCAGCTGTGTTGGAGGGGAGTTTTGACCTAGAGGTCAAAGTGATTCCGGTAACACTGTTGAAATTTTTTGGTCCTGCTGTAACATACTTATCACCTGGCAAGTACCCAGACAGCAAACAGCCCCTTAGTGTAGTAATGCTGATACCAGCCAAAAAAACCACAGCATGCAACATAATGAAAAAAAAAAAAACAAAACCCAAACCAAACAAACCCAAGCATACTGCATCCCTGAAAACCCGAATTCAATTGCAGCCTGTTCCTTCAGCCACCATCCTCCTCAACCGCCCTTTACCCTTGAAAAGGGAATTAGTCTCCCCTTTTTCATTTTGCGGTGAAGCAAACGGGCTCTTCACCAAACTGCTTAGAAAAAGAATTTCAGCAGAAGTTCACCTCATCACCGCAGCTGCTTCCATACAACGAAAGACTCCCAATGAGAGAGGGACACTCCAAAGCGAGAGGCTATGGATTTGACATCTCCAGAGGAGATTATTCAGTTGTTTTCTCTACGGAAGGGCCTCCCTGCACAAACTGTGATCCCGGCATGCGCGTCCCTGAGCAGCAGACGCCTTGTGAGTGCAGGAGAGCAATAGAGAAAAAAAAAACTCAGCTCCAGCAAAACAGTTCTGTGCAATCTTGTAAAGTGACAGAGAAAATGGGGGACAGGGATGAAGATGTGGCTTCTGCTGGACTGTCTCAACAGGACCAGTCTGTCCAAGGCCTTCATCACACACTAACAAACCAAGGACTTGGACATCCCTGCTCACGTCAAACAAAGCACCTGCCAGCACAAACAAATCACTACTGCAGGCTACTACCTGCTAAAAGAAGGGACTCAAAAAACACTGGACAGACTTCAAAATGCAGCCAAGCACAGGCTGTCCCCGTGTCCCAGGAGTGAGGGTGTGCCTCCTTCCCTGCAAACAGCCCTCGGAGTAACAAGGGGTTAAGTTTCTGTCTCTGTGCAAGTGCATGGCTGGGTAATCTGTTTGCCTGACCTTGTACAAGGAGAGCAGCTCCTAGTGTGCAGAACCACCTTCACCAGTGGTGTAGTCCCACCTGGTGTTCAGGGAAGGAAGTAATTGATGCGCTGGGATACAGACTTGCAGCCCTGTGCAGAGAAAAGCTTCTCTTCCGTGGGGACAAACACCATCATCCCGGCCACCTCATCAAGGGCTGCCTCGGTGTACGGAAGTCCACGGGCCAGGAAAGCGTCCCGTGCACAGAGCTTCACATGGTGGTACTCCAGGGGCAGGAACGGCACGAAGAAATCAATGAGGTTCTCTTCGAGGAGGTGGCTGCGGGCATAACCATTCTCTGTAGCAAAATGCAAGATGACAAAAACTTCAGAAGCTCCACCTGAGAGCTGTCATCCCTCTGTGAGGCAAGGCTTATCTCTCCGAGGGGGCTGTCTTGGCTTATACAGCCATACGTGGTGGGAGAGAGACACCCACTTGGAAAGAGGTGGCCAGCACTTAATCTGAACACAGAATGTCACTACGGCTTGCCCATCTCAGGCCAAGAGAAGCCTGAATCCCCAGAGAAGCCTTGATACTTCCCTACAGCCTTAGGCTGCTTCTTGCAACCTGGGCACTTTCAGGGCTGAAAGGGGCAAGAAGGACTCACAGCTCCCTCCTCCCATGTCTCGCTGCTGCAGCGGTGCTGTGCTCGTGGGGCTGTGCTAGTGTGGATGAAGGAAGTTGGAATAAGGGCTCATTCCACAGCACACGGTGGATGGGACTGCATAAGCAGGGCCCCAAGCCAGCGCAGAGGGGCAGGTTTGTGGGCAGCCTGCCCACAGCATCCCGCAAGCGAGCCTGGCTCCTACCTTCAGGCTCCTGCAGCTCTAGCCGCAGCCGCTGCTCCAGGAACTCCATGGAGATCTCCTCCCGCGCCCGGCCAGCTCGCCAGAAGTCCAGGGCTACCTCATTGATGGTGTTGCCACCGAGATTGCTGTGGACACAGAATAGAAGTCATTCAATCATGCCCCCAGAGATGAACTGCTGAGAGCTGCCAGCAACCTCCCCTCCAGACAGGCCTCAGGAACTCTGTTAGCAATGAAGGATTTGCTGTGTAGGATCAGCATCTGAAATATCTGCAGATGGAGGAACCAGCTTTTGTCCCAAAGAGCCCCTTTCTATAAGCATCTTTACAGCTATCTTCCATCTTGCCAGCTTAGACCCTGGGGCAGCTCCTTTCTCTCCCAGAGTGGGACCAGGAGCCAGCAGAATCCTCCATCTCCATCAGTCCCCTGTCCTGGCTGGGATGCCATCGACCTCGTAGATGACACTTGGCTCCACACCAAACTCCCAGAAGCCACCACTGAAAGTCCAAGTGAGAGGGCAGAGCAGATGGCAGGAGTCCTACTAGAAGTAAAGGTCCCGGGGCAGGGATTCAAATGGCAGCCCAGGACTTGGCAAAGCATCCCCTGCCCAAGGGACAAAGCAGTGCAGTTCCCACGCGAGGACTCCTCTGGACACCCACTGTGGGGACAGCTCCGCCGTGGGGGACATGGGTCCTGGCAGTCACTAAGGCTCCCAGGGCAGCCCCTCACCTCAGAAAGCAGTTCAAGGCCAGGCAGCCCCCAAGTGCTGGTGAGAGGTTTGCAACAGCCTCAGACAACAGCCCCCAGCCTCAAGTGCCCTGCCACCAGTGAGCTGGCCATACTGGGAACCAGCTGGCTGCAGAGCTTGTGTAGGTGGGAGGCAGAGAGGCACTGGGAGAACCAATCTTGCACCCATCTTTCCTCTTGTGTCAGAGGCTCTGGACCCGTTTCCCAAATGGAGGGGAAGCAAAATTAAAAAGCCACCACTGTTCCCCTTCCCACCCCACCCCCTCCCCTGCCTTCTTAGGCGGGGAAACAGCTTTTATCGATCTTGCTCCCACCCAGACTGCAGGAGAAACAGTCCCTTCTGACTGGGGACACCCCATTCCCCGAACCTGGCCAACACTGCAGGACCAGGCCAGTGTCCAAAGGAGCCATGGGGCAGAGCCAGCCCTCCTGCAACAGGTCTGTCTCACACTGCCAGCAGGTATGATGAACCCCCCCCAGGATTACACACTGCCGCAGTTTAAGGCACCCTGCTCCCCTCTGCTTAGTAGCACGAAGGGGCTAACATGTCATCCTGCATGGCTTGCCAGGTAGGACACAAGGTCAGGTCAGCTCAGTGCAGCCAGCAGCACATCCACCCTGCCCTGAGCAATAAGGGAGAATCTGCCCCCTCCACCACAGCTCCTGCCAGAGGTCCATGCAGGTAGGACTGAAATGTGGTCAGCTCTGCAAGCGCTGGGCACATATACAGGTCCTCCACAGGCAAAGAAACTTCCCTAGGGAACCCCCAAGCTGGGAGATTAGAACACTCGCCTGGATGGTGGGAGATGGAGAACAAATCTCTGCCCGCCTCTAGCCTGTCGGAACACCTCTTGCCAGAGCCAAGCTGAAGGTTGTAACTCCTAAATTGAAGGGGCCCAAGGTGCTTGTCTCTCCTTGGCATTTCTCACTGGCTACTTCAGGCATGTGCCTACCTCACATCTCAGTTTTAAGATGTCCTACTTCTCCCTCCAGATGCATCCCGCCTAGGCTTGGGTCAGCGACAGCACTGGGGTGTGCACATGCCAAAGTCGTTTCTCCCTTCAGATGGGAAAAGAACCGACTAAACCACAGGACGAGGCGATGCCAGGATCAGCCCTCACAGCACAGCAGACCGACATCACCTCAGCCTGCAGCCACGACCAGACAGTGGGAACTCCCCACCTCCCACTTCCAACTAACAGTGCCACGTTGCACAAGAACTTCCCAAGACCTGCAGCCGTAGCTTTGCTCCCTGGAGTATGGGATCTCCTGGCTCAGCTGTGCATGGTGACACCACACTAGCTCTGACTCCCAATGGTTCCTTGTCTCAAAGCCTAGACACTGGCTTAGGTGTCCCAGCTAAGCTGGACCTCAGCTCCTCCTGCAAATGCCCCATACCCAGGGAGGATGCCCAGCACCAATAAGCAAAACTGACCATGGAGGCAACCACCTCTTGGAGGAGTTGGACATCTCTTCCCCCCTGCTGCAGCCTGAGCATCTCATATCACACACCTCGGGATAGATTCCATCACTTTTTTCCTCCCCATCCCTTTGGGGGCCCAGAAATCACCTGAGGAAGAGGAAGATAGATCTCCGGTAATCCACCTGGCCCTCGTTGTCATAGTGAGCCATGAAGGGCTTGATGGCATCCAGGAGGCTGAAATGAAGTTTCTCTGCTTCATCGAAGATGAACAGGGACTGCTTGCACAGCTGCACAGTCTCGCTTATCTGCTTCTTCAGCTGAGCCTGCAGAGCAGCAGTGAGGAGTGTGAGAAGCCCAGCAGCAGTCACTGCCACCAGATCATCGTGCAGGGGCTGAGCCTGGATGCTGGGGGTTAACCCTGGCTGGCAGCTAAGGACCACACAGCCGCTTACTTGGTCCACCCAGCGGGACAGGGTAGAGAACAGGAAGAGCAAAAGCAAGGAAACGAGTGAGTCAAGATAAAGGTAGTTTAATAAGTGAAGGAAGGAGGAAAAAGAAAAAGAAAATCAAAGCAAGTGATGCAAAGGCAACCACTCACACCTACCACAAATAGACTGATGCCCAGCCAGTCCCTGAGCAATGGCTTCCTAGCCCCAAACCCGGTCCCCTCAGTTTTTATTGCTGAGCACAACGGTAAATGGCATGAATACCCCTTTGGTCAGTTGGGGCCAGCTGTTTGGTGTCCCCCCTCCCAACTTCTTGCGCACCCCCAACCTACTGATTGCAGGGGCAGAGTGGGAGAAGGAGAGAGCCTTGAGGCTGTGCAAGCACTGCTCAGCAGTAGCCAAAACACCGCTGTGTTATCAACACTGTTTTACTCACAAATCCAAAACACAGCACCATGTGGGCTGCTGTGAAGAAAATGAAATCCATCCCAGCCAGACCCAGTACACTGGACCATGGCAACACCATGTTGTCGGTTCTCACCTTGTACAAGTCCATGTACTTGTGATGGGGGAAGTGGAAGAGCGAGATGAACACCCTGACGCACTCGCTCTTCAGCCCATCCCGGTACAGGTGACTGGCCACCATCCGAGCCACAAAGTTCTTGCCTGTGCCGGACCAGCCGTGGAAGGAGAGGACGAGAGCCTTCTCTGGCCGCGGGCTCCGCAGGAACCCTTGCACCGCCCGGATGACGACTTCTTTGGCCAAGTGCTGCCCATGGAGCTGCCCATTGAGGTCTGCTTCTAGCCCTGCAGGAAAGAGAGCAAGAGCCCAGCTTTAACTTGCAAGCCCAGCTGCTGCTGCAGGTGGGAATAAGAGGAGAAAATGTGGTAAGGCACTAAGCCCACACAGCCCTGCCTGTCTGAGAGGAGGCTGAAGCGGCATTAAAGTCACAGGACCAATGAGACAGGCTGCCTGTACCCTGCCTGCATCAGCCACTGACTGCAAAAAGACACAGATCTTCTGCTGACTCCTTTTTCCCTTTGGGAAGCGGAGGAATTTGATGACCGCAGAGAGGACTGAAGCCCAAAGGCCCCGGTGAGCTCCAAGCAGAGGGTATGGATACCAGAAGTCCCAGGGCCAGCAAAATGCAATGACACCTGCGCAGGGCTTACACGCAGGTCTTGGCATACCCTCCCGACCTGGGCCAGTCTGGATCCCACTGCGTATGCCTGGGAGCTACCGCATGAAGGCAAGGCTCGTGGCAAACTGGAGCAGATATGCTGTACGGTAAGGAACAAACTCTCTTGCAGTCTCAGAACCACAAATGAATAATGGGAAACAGGACTTAGCTCAGCACCTCGCCCTCCCACGCACCCAGCACCCTGCTCAGAACTGCCCTTTACTTGCATCACTTGCTAAAATACATTTTCTTAAAAAGAAAAAAACCCCCACAAACAAACAACAAAAGAGACAATACGGAAAGGCAGCAGACACAAGCACCGCTTGGGGTCTCCCAAGTACAGCACAGCACCTACCTGTGATATTGTTGACTATCCTGCAGTCTCCTGTCTTGCAGCACTTGCCAAAGCTGCAGTACCAGGCAGAGAGGATCTCCAGGTAATCCTGGCCCACCACAGGCAAGCTCCAGCCTGGAAGAGGCAACGGTCTGAGCAGAGATGTGCCAGCAAGTGCCATTTTTGCATTTTGTGTGGATGCTCAGCTGAGCCTGCTTAAGGGCAGCCCTCCTCCCAGGTGCAAGGACTCTGACACCACCCTGCCAGGCAGCTAGGGCTGTGGGGAGGGGGAATAAGCACGAACGGACAGCAGCTGGCTCAGGTGGGCACGGGGAGCCATAGCGGGTGCCAGCACGCTCCCCCCACCGACACGGATGTTTGTGGCAACGCGGGGTACGCCGAGTAAGGAGGGAGATGCCCGGGGCAGCGACCCTGGGCATCCACAGGAGCCGGGGGCAGGGACGCCCGTGCTGGGGGAAGCAGGGTGTTTGGACCCGTTGCTGTTTCTGGGGCGCGGGAGAGGGAGAGAAGGGAGGAAAGCGCTTACCTGGACTGGGACCGGACTCCTCCTCCTCCTCCTCCTCCTCCTCGCAGCCCTCCTGCCACACCTTGCACGCCAGGTACTGCCAATACTGCTTGGAGAGAGCGCCCGCGGCTCCCAAGTGCTTCTTCACAGCTTCGTACCCCGTCCTGCCCCGCGGTCCCCCCTCCGCCACGGGGCCCTGCTC